TTTTCTGACCCATCTGAGACCATAACTTTTAAATGCATCTCTTTGTGTAGGGCAGGCTTTAAAAAAAATCAGAGGTTTACATGCTGCTGTGAAATACGGATGAAAGAGACATGAATAATGAATATTACAACCTAAAAAGATGTTAAATCTATTGTATAGTATGTAATATGTGTACTACAATATAGATAAGGATATTACCTCTTTATTAACACTTTCTCAGTGGTCATTACTAACTTTCCTGACTCATGACAAAATTTATGACTGCTGATTTCTTTATTATGACAAAGTTGTGTGGAAAAGATCAACACATAAGTATTCAAGAAACTGAACTTCTAAGGTCACACAGGCAAAATTTCTGACAAGTTTCCAGGAAATAATAGAATACTATGCCTTGTGCCAATAATACATTATGTCCTTCTTTGTATAGGGTCAGAATGTTTTCTTGATGAGTAAGGTTATTACATACATAGCCATGCACAATTTAGTTGTGGGTTTTTTTCCTGTCACACAGACATTTTTTTCTGAACAGAATTTTAAAACTTTGTGCATCTTCTGGATATGTTGCAGTTTGATTTGCTTTCTGGATTTCTGGAGATAATGAATAACAAGTGACATTAGAATTGGATGTTTCATCTACAGTAAAATAATTTGATGCACTCAAGATCCTGTTTAATTATAGTGAATGTGCTATCCAGATACATTCCATGTGCAGGAGTAAGTCAGACATTAGATTCACAGTTTCTGTATCACACCATGTTCATGCATATAATTCTATCCTGGATATCCTGAACATAAAAATATCAAACATTGATTTTAAGGAGAGGTACAGTGTAAAAGACCCACCTGCTCTCTGCTCATCCCTTTACCTTTTGTGAAGAGGAGCAATCATCCTGCAGAAGCTGTCTCTCCACTCTTTTTGGGGTTGGTAGATATGTCTATACAAAGAAATACAGAGTACTTTGACACTAGGGACTGTTGAATATGGGAATGGAACAGTTATTATAATTGTTGTTTGTTTTATTTGATTTTTAGTACTTTCTCTTAAATTATTTTTTAATATTCTATATCAAATTTGCACAACAGTAATTTCCTGGGACCACAAAGTTTACCCCCAAATTGTTAAACAATTAATGAAATCAAGAAAAGTGTTACCTTCGTCAGCAGCATAAGTTCAACCATTATATTCTTCAGGTCAGTACCAGTCAGAACAGTGCAAACCGCATTATTTGCTCTTGCTAAAGAAAGCTTCATATTTGGATGCACAGATGTGAGTACAATCACAACACCTCATTGGAACTGAGGCCTTGCCTCCCTATAACCAACTATCTGAATTACACTTACCAAGGTATATTCCAGAAACAAAATTTCTTTAGGCAGTCAGAACATCTTTCAAAGGAATCTTGAATTTTCATGTGAGCTGAATATTTTATATGCCTTAGGATTTGTTTAGGTTGCTTTTCTGCTTTTGTTTTCCAAAGTCAAAATTCCTGCTGTTCCTAATATTTTGTGGGGGATTTTTTTTTTCCAGTTTGAGATTCAATTCTACAAAATGCCAAGTAAATCTGTTCTTCAGTTCATAGTTTCCCTGATGTTTCTGAGGCAATCCAATTGTTGTTTTCCTTCTTCAATGGGGGGACAAGCATAGTAGGGACAAGCATAGCAGATAAATCAGCAAAGTACAGTGGAGCAACTGTCTTCTATACATGAACCTAGAGTAATCTTCTCACCCATGTGCCTAGTACAGAAATTAGCAGTGGAGTTATGTTTCCTTTCCCATTTCAGTATGTCACTTAAACTTGAGAAAGGTGGAGAGTTGCTGTGGTGGGTATGGGGAAGAATTTCTTCCTCTTTTCTATTTAATCAAACATAAAGCCATATCATCCACCTCATTTTAAATCCTTTCAAGATCCATCCTTACACAAAGGAAAAAAATATATATGCAGTTATAATACTTAATCTGCGACAAATATGCACTCCAAAGTCCAACAAGCCTCTAAAACTATTTGGTTCCATCAGCATCTGTGCACCAGCAATAAAAGTCCTTCAAGAACATCAGAATCAATAAGACATTAAGACAGGAGTGTCTAACTATTCACCAAATAAGTATAATTATACTAGGACATAAGAACAAAATGTCAACTAGGTAATCTTGCTCTCCATTCAATATCAGTTTGACCTAGACACAAACATACCATCGAGTATTGGACACTCTAATTGTGGAAAAAACATGGTTTAGCTAGGTGATGACCAGATAAGAATAACAAGAACAATTAGTAATAATAATTAAAAAACAAAACAAAAACAAAAACAAAAACCTACTATAAAATACCGGAAATGTGTTTTATTAAGTCTAGGAAAAAGAAAACCAAACAAACCTAAAAAACCCACCTTTCAGGACACATGATCACAATTTTCAAATATATAAAAAGCTACTGCAAAGCACGCTCACTTCTTTTCATCCTAGTCCCTGAAGTCAGAAAGAGAAATACTGGGTGTTGGAAAGAGTGTGGAATCATAAAGGAAACATAGGGAAACACCTTCAAAAAAGTACAAGGATAAACTCACAAAGGACCTGAAGCACTGGAGAACAGTATTATGTTTGTCAGGAATCTCTCAGTCCATCTCTCTGTCTATCTGTCTACTGGAATAGTGTCAAAGAGAAATTAACTAAAACACTTTTATCTAACTCTAAGATTTTTCCATTTTAACTCTCTTTTATATGAAGGAGCATTTTCAGTCTCTACTGTTCCTGCCTATCAAAGAGAAACCTTAGGCAACAGCTGGCTGATCAGAAGTCAATATGAGAATCAGAACAGAATAGCAATCAACCAGAGTGAGATGAACATCACGTTCTGAATCTTGACTTTGCTAACCATAATTTAGTACACTTTTACCTAAGGCTTTCTTTAAGATCAAATGAAAATATGAGACAATGAGTTTAAGAAAAATCTTTCATATGCTCAGCCTTTACCTAGGGAGTTTATACAACTGCAAGAGAAATTGAAGGAAATCCAAGCTTTACAAAAACTAACTTTAAGATTTAAGAAATCTTACTTTGATTTCCTATTCCCATATTGCAGCTGTTCATAAGAAGATTCTGTATACTTCCACATAATGGCAATACCTTTAGTAAGATCAGACTGATGTATCTTCACTGACTTTGATATATATACCTTGATCTGCATCAGTTAAAATCTGGCCCTTTTCGCTTCTACACTCTTTTGTTGTAAATTCTTGTGGCAATGATACATTTTCTAAGATAAATCAGATAGAAAATAATAACCTGGTTTTTTTTAAAATTCCTGGTTTGTTTTTTTTTTTTTTCTGCCATCTTTCCTTACAATATGACCACCTTTAATTTCACAAAATCAACTCACTTTCAATGAGTGAGACCATGCTAAAATGTGATTCCTTAGTGGGATTCCTGATTAAGAATCCCACTATCTTCTGCTGGTCTCAGTCCAGCCAGGATTGGGGTGATGCACAGAAGAAAGACAAACTCACACCAGCTTGTTGAAGGGGGGCATTGCCAAGAGTAAATGCTGCTGCACTCTGTGCCAGCTCCCAGTTTATTCTCACTTCTTTACATAGGTTTGTTATTACTTCTACATCCTAGTGACCTTCAGGTTTTATCTGTTTACTGCTCACACGTTCACCGTGCATTCTGCAGGAGGTGTTCTGGCCTGCTGTTTCTGACGTTCACAACACGGTGTTCCAAATGTTGCCTCAGTTTCCCACAATTGTTCTTCTAACCTCAAGGTCAGTTTACATTTTGCTCACCACAAGTTCTTAATTCCTACATCTCCCCCTTTTATGTTTTATAGCTTCGTTTCCATGACGATCATTGCAAATCAGTCTCAGTTCAGCCTTCCGCACCATGGACAGGAGGCATCATATGTGTTGCAGGATGATAAATCCTATTAAACAAATCAAACACCCAGGCCTGCTAAAAACCACATCCGTAGGTTCAGACCTGAAAATTAAAGCCAAGGGTTGAGCCATGATAAACTTTTGCCTAACTCTGTCATGATGTCATCATGCATTAATTTCAGGATGCCAATTAAACTCAGACATCTGAATGAGAAGAGTAGGCTGACTTCACTATCAATAATTAAAGGATATATCTAAGTATTATAAAAATAAGCAGTAAGAAAAATACAGAATAGTACACTTACTTATTACTCTATATAATTAAAAGCAAATGCACCTAATCTTTAGTACACAATGAGGTACTGATATCCAGATCTGCAATTGCTGGGGAGCCCCAGTTAACAAGGATTTGGAGTACCTTTCCCTTCAAGTGGGAAGTCCTACGCGATGTGTCCATCCATAGGTGAGGCATCCAAAGTTGCAGCAAGCAGGTCCAGCCTCATATATCCAAATCAGCAGGCCGAAATAGCTTGCACTTTTCTCTGAGCAGAAACATCTGGTTTCATCCTCCTGTTGAATTCCACCCAGAGCCTGGCCAGTACTCAGGGGGGGAAACCAAGGGAGTTTCTAATAAAGTCAAACACTTAAGTTCTTAATCTTTAACACTGCTAAACAAAGAATGTTGGATACACATTCTCACAGCATTTCATCCTTATTAATAACTACATTTTGTCTAAGGTACATCTTTCACTAGTGACTAGTAAGCCTATATATTTTGTTAATGATCAAATACTAATAATTAATGCTAATTAGCAAGAGATATTTTACTAATTAACAAGAACTAATAATGGATAATATTTAGTTATAAAGTTCATCTATAGGTAATGAAGTACACAGTGACACAGTGGTGGAAAATTGGCACAGAACCTACAAGCATTTCATCTTATTTGTGTCTCTTTTCTAGCCAACAAAATATACGGATGAGTTGCACAGACAGTCTAAAATGAAGGACCTGTGGGTGATAAAACACAAGCATACCCCCATATCAGCAGATCTACTGGTCCTCTCCAGGTCAGGTCTCTTTCAGGATCCTTATACAAGACCTGTGATTTAATTGTAGAGTCTGTTGTGGTGCTAAAATGATGTTCTGCTGCTGTCAAAGAAAAATTATTGCTGTTTAAGAAATTATGAGTATATGAAGCCATTGCCAGTTGATTATGTAATGTGTTCAGAGAATTCCCCCATTTTTATTTTAAAATCAAAGCCTTTAGTGTACTGACCATCAGCAAGATTTAAAGTTAGTCCTTTTACAATGTCTGTATCTATTATATATTCAGGATCAGGGAAAATCATGACTAAAAACAATTGTCCTGGGAGGTTTCCTATTTTCATTTGTGTTTGTACAGTTTTTCCTGGGATGCCCGTATATTAAGAAAGCCTCCTCTCCAGAATCAATTGAGGCATTTATAGTCTGTGGGGACCATAATACTGATTCCCCTCCCTTGCCTCCTGTGAAGGGTAAAAGTCAGAAAACGGTGGCAAATCCTCTTTCATCCCCAGAACCGGTGATCCACCCACAGGGGCCATCCGTGAGCAGATGAAGGGTCCTATTGAGGTGCGCGAAGAGGTGCCATAGGCTGAGTTGTCCCTGGATTCTTAGTTTTAGAACTATTAATCTCTCTGTGTATATATATATTCGGTAGGGCTGTCTCGAGTGTCTTGATTTCCTGCACTCCCTTGGGGGCCCCACTCTCCAAGGTCAAGCAGCTGCTGGTTTTGTTGGTTTTTTTTTTTCTATCACATTAATAAGGGGATTTTCTGCCTTATTAATCAAAAGAATCATGATTATATTTTTATGTGCTGGTGGGGCAGCCTTAATCAGTTTATTTCTCATGGTGACAGAGAAAGGATGCCGCATCATAGTGTCAGCACCTTCTATAAAAACTGCTGGTTTTGGTGTTCGGGGGAGGCAGAGTGGGTGGGCACAGGACAGAGGGGCAGTGCCAGGCTCAGATGCACTACCAATAAGGCTACGGCAAGGAGCTGTGTCTAGTGGCTCTCGGTACCTACATGTTAGCAAACTTTCAGGTATTTGCCAAGCTCCTGGGGTTTTTTTGCCTCTTAGTAGTGCAAGCATCACTTGACAGTCAGCGTTAGCACTGGCATATGCCAGTTGTAATATTAGGGCTTTGGCTGCCTCGGGGTTATCTACCTGATGAAGAGATCGCCACCTGTAAATGATCTATAAATTGCCAATATGACTCCTGAGATTATTTTGTGTTCCCCATCAGGTACCTTTTTCCATGCTATTAAAGCAGCTTGTGAGGCCTGGGTAAACAAGCGCTGATCTTGCTGGGCTTGTACAAGGGTGTCTCTATACTGTCCTTTGCTGACCAGCTTGTCATAGCCTATCAGTATAACATCAGCCAAATTTTTCATGGATTGCATTGCACAGAGCTCTGAAAACTCAGTTTTCGAGATAGAATACTGTGCCAGCATTAATACTGGTTTTATAAGTGCCAGACAATCCCATGGAACCAATTGATACCCATGAGCTATTGCATCCAGTATACCTGTTGTAAATGAGTTTTGAAGCCCATTCTCATTAATGCTTTTACACAGTTCTTTAAAACCCTGGTATGGCAGAGACTCATGATGTGGGTGCTGACTGTGTTTTATGATTGCTGGATACACCACAGGATTTCCATTGCTCAGTGTCTCTTTAAGACATGTCTCTATCTTGGATTATCCTCCCTGAATCTCTACTGGAAATCCCTCCTTGTGGGGGAGGTGGAAAATCAGAGGGTACAGATTGTAATTCCTCATCTTTATCCTTTTCATCCCTACTTGCTTCTGCCAGGGGTGTAATAGGAGTTAGTTCTTTCTCCTGTTGGGATGAGGTACTGACAAGTTCTGGTATTTCTCCTGTCAATGGGTGTAAAGCCATGTAAATCACTCACCATGTAAGGACAACAGAGGTCAGAAATGCACTCCCTAGGTCTTCATTAGTTTTAAGCTCCTGTCCAACCTTCCAACATAATGCTAAATCAAAAGTTCCGTTGACCAGAAACCATTTACAATACTTAAAGATATAGCGCAGTAACTCATGCAGTTGGTCATCTGTTACCGAATATCAGGCAGTGTTCAATAACTGTTTTAAAACTTGTATATAGTGCTTTTGTTGCTTAGAAAACCCTGACCCCATGATTTACGAGAAAAGAGAAAGGAAGAAAAACCCCTTTTGATTTAAGAGAAGGAGGAGAAAAAACATATGCTAGCAGCTTCCCACAGCCAGGTGCTGCCGCCTGGCACCCACCAGATAACTTAAGAGAAAGAAACCAGCTGCTTCCCACAGTCAGGTGCTGGTGTCCAGTAGTACAACTAAAAAAAAAAAACAAAACAAAACAAAAAACAAACAAAACCCACCTCACTTCTGTCCTTTAGTATGCTGGCAGCTTTCCCAACACTGCGTGCTGCTGTTTGGCACTTACCAGCGGAACAAATATTTATGTCTGGATGCCACTTTCCTCCTTCGCATACGAGCACACCACCATCTTCTTCAGGTTTTCGTAGCAGCTCACACAGGGCACCATTTGTCAGTCTCGGTCCAGCCAGGATCAGAATGATGCACAAAAGAAAGACAAACTCACACCAGTTTGTTGTTCTTGGCAATGCCAAGAACAAATGCCACTGCACTGTGTGCCAGCTCCCAATTTGTTCTCACTTCTTTACATAGGTTTGTTATTACTTCTACATCCTAGTGACCTTCAGGTTTTATCTGTTTACTGCTCACACGTTCACCGTGCATTCTGCAGGAGGTGTTCTGGCCTGCTGTTTCTGACGTTCACAACACGGTGTTCCAAATGTTGCCTCAGTTTCCCACAATTGTTCTTCTAACCTCAAGGTCAGTTTACATTTTGATAGCCACTAGCTCTTAATTCCCACAATCTTCTGGTTTTGTCCACAAAATATGTGCATGTAAATCAGAGTTTTCTTGGATTTTCTACTCTTTCAGATTAGTAGACAAGTTGTAGGGGGATTTTTGGTAAGAGAATGTGCTGGTTTTGGCTGAGATAGGGTTAATTCTCTTCATAGGATCTGGTATGGGGCTATGTTTTCGATTTGTGCTGAAAACAGTGTTGATAGTACAGGGATGTTTTCCTTACTGATGAGCAGCGCTTACAGTCAAGTACTTTTCTGCTCCTCACACCACCCCACCAGTGAGCAGGCTGGGGGTGCACAAGACATTGAGAGGAGACACAGCTTGCACAGCTGACCCCAGGTGACCAAAGGGATATTCCATACCATATGATGTCATTCTCAGCATATGAAGCTAGGGGAAAGAGAGGATTTGTCTTCCCGGTAACCATTACACATGATGGGGCCCTGTTTCCCTGGAGATGAGTGAGCACCTCCCGATGATGGGAAAGGGTGAATTAATTCCTTGTTTTTCTTTGCTTGCACGTGTAAATATTGCTTTAGCTATTAAACTGTCTTTATCTCAACCCACGAGTTTTCTCACTTCTACCATCCCATGATAAGGGAGTGAGTGAGTGGTTGCGTGGGGCTTAGTTGCCTGCTGGGGTTAAAACATGACAGAAACAGACAGAACAATTGGAATAATAATCTTTCTAAACATGAAAGAAACATACACTGCAGCAGTAACTAGTCGGCAAAGACAGATGATGTTCTGTATTTTAGAAGACCAGGAAAACATTTCCAGAAAAAAAAAAAAAAAAAAAAAAAATTATAAAAAGGGACATTACATATTCAGCTACAATTAATATTTCTAACATGTCTTTGAAACTCATTTTCCATGAAAATCAGTTATTCAGCTGTTCACAGAGAATAAACACAAAAGGAAATTAAATACACTGTTACAAATTAATTAAAAGCCTCTGGTAGTACATTGAAGGTCATACATAAGAAGCTACATAGCTATTTATTTTTTGAACAATCAAACAAATCTTTGCAGACTTATGTTTTTCATATTTTACCCAGATGCTACTGCCCTGATTTGTGCTTAGCAGAGAGCTCCTTGTTTCTGCAGTATGAAAGTCTGTTTATCTAAACTCTTTGACTTTATTCATTTGTGTCACATTTATGTGCAGCTTTCTTATAATATGCTTAGGGCAAGTAACTCGGGGATCAGTCACTCAAAACCTGCTGTTGCTTGAAGTGCATATTTACAGTCATATCTGGTTTCAGTCAAAATAAGACAAACAAAGAAAAAAGTTAAATGTTTTCATTCGAGCTAAATCCAATGCCCTGAGGTATCCAAGAGAGCAACACAGGGCTTGCCATCTATTGGGAGCTATAGGAAACCTGTGCCCTTCCTTCTGGATCATCAACTGGAGAATGGGTCAGACACCCAAGAACAATTTTAGATGTGAATCTCCAGGCACCTCCACCAAACTACTGTTCTAAATAGAGAAATGCAGCTTATTTTTGAGGAAGAACAGTTAGACTGTCCCCTGGATGAATTTCAGGTTAAAAGACTTAATCTGTCTGAAGTCTGTGGAAAATTTCAAAAGAGTTGTGGTCTATAAAGTCTAACAGAGGCACCAGAGGGAGGTTCCCTCTGGGAGCACTCTGTGGCGAAGGCTAGAAAGGTTAATGATCCCTACTAGTTGTCACTTGAGATATAATATACACTCAAAGAAGAAACCTTGATAAACGTTTTGTTAGAGGAAAAAGAAGAAAAAATCATCTGAAGGAGGGACAAAGGAAGTAAATAAAGGTGAGAAATCTTCTGATTTTATTTTAAACAACTTCAACTTTTTTCATATCTCCATGTCTTCTATAAAAATTCTTAATTGTTTGCCTATTTTGGATATTCTACGCAAATACTTCTATAAAAATTTCATCTTAATCTGGATTGAAGGGACTGTGATAACAGCAAGACTGCACTGTGATGAGTGTATAAACCTCTGAACTGGCAGAGAACTGGCAATGCAGGAGACATAGGCTTTGATGTGAAAGGTGATGAGGAGGACACTTCAGCATGCAAAGTTACCGCACCCCAGCCCATTTTTAATATGTGAAGGGATAAGGCATTCTTCAGACACAGCATTAGCTGAAAATTTATACTGTACGATATGGTATTTTACCAAGACAAGTGCAAAATCTTCTCAAATGTTTTTAAAGGTTTTTAAATAGATTGATACTTTTTCACTGCTTTTTTTTTTCTTCATGTCCTTTCAGTAGCAGCATATTTGCAGGTATCATATTTTGTTCCTTCATTTCTGTGTCAGATCTGTAACACTCCTTCAGATTTCTTCTTAAACTCCAAGGCTGAGCTCTTTTATAATAATAATTTTTTCCATATCTATTCTTGATGTAGGAGGTATTAGTTAAAGTGCATGTTTTCCTCAACTGCTAAATCAGGGGGTTGCTTTCTTGCCACAGTCAAAACTTTTCTTTTTCAGCCTGAAAGAGTATATAGCACCAGCCTGGTTAACAAGCTGTCCATGTTAAATGTATCTTGGATCAATTGTTGTTCCCTTATTGTAGGTTTTACCTGTTAAAAATATCTTGGAGCACTAATTCCAAAAATTATCATCTGATGAGTTTAACAGGAAGCCTTTCTACCATAAACCAAAAAAAGGAAGTGATGCTTCCCTGAAAAGAAATGTTTAAATTAGTTTCCACGGGAAACTAAAACATGCAGATCTGAGAGACTGTGGTCATACAGAATGAGAGAAAATTAACAAAAGAAGGATTCTTGGCTGAATGATACCATATTATATACATTACAAATGGGTCAATAATTCCTGCCCTGTGCTGAAGTTTTCTTAACAATGTAATTGAGGTTGTCTTTTAGAATTGAGTTTTTATGTGCACCTTAAGTGCTCACAGTATTAGTTTTAATGTTTTATATCTTTTCAGTAAGGAATAGCTCTTGAAATTAATTTCATATTTGTAAAGAAGGCACACATTTGATTTCATTTGTTTTCTTATGAAGCTGTTTAATTATATAATTAGAAAATAAATTATTATTGTACTGTCCCTTTACCAGTTTTAAATTGAACATTAAACTTGCTTATGTAAGATAGTGACACTGCGTCAGCAAAGGTTCTATAACTGTGATCCTTAGACCTTCTTATGGTCCAAGTAGATTTGGTTTGTAATATCTTACTGAAGGACAAATCTCTATATTCACCTGACACTTTGCAATAAGAAACATCTATTGCTGAAAAATGTATTTTTAGAGACTAAATTCCTAAGAGGGGTAGAACAAGATAGAAGTACAATTATTTTTTTCTGTTAGGAAGAGGATGAATAACCATGGAAATCAAGAAAACATGAACAAAACAAAGAATTAAAAATGCCTCCAAATAATTGTTGAAAGTTTTCCCTGCTGTTTTTCAACAAATACTAAAGACATATCTGTGTTTAAAAGCTTCATTTCAAATAACCTATGAAGAAAAAATGGTAAGTGAAAAAAAAAAAAAAAACCAAAACACAAAACAAAACAAAAAAACAGTAGAAGGAAAGTGACTAGTGGGATTAAAGAGAATAATTCTTTGGAAAATCTAATATGGATTTAACAGTCCAATAATTCAGATATAAATAATAATTATTTGGAATTCCAGAGTTATAAATTATGTAAACATAATTAGATTTCTCTACCTATATAAAGTAAATATTCTAATTTAGTTGTTATTAGCAAAATTATTTAACAGAACTTGTTCCTTTGTAAAATGGTAGTAAACAAAATACGTTTTAAAAATTAGTCAAAGAAGGTTCCTGCATGTTCAACGTTAATATATTATGTGTAAATGACTAATTACAGACACTGACTGTTTTAACTTTCACTAGATACTTATGATTTATGCAGAAGATTAGATGGCATTGATAGAAAAATAAAAGGCAACAGGTCTCAGTAACATGCTTATTCAATGCACTGGTAACAAGAGGTTCTGGCTAGCTGTAAAAACTTATATTAGTTTAAGCAGTTCTGTTATTTCCTGTACCAAGTTCATACCCGAGTGCCTGGTTCCTGTGAGTGCTCAGCTTAACTGCTAAGTTTTACACGGTGTTGCTCAATGACGTATGCAAATTGCTACAGTAGATCTTAGCGGGTCCTCTATGCTAGCCACAACACTGAACATGAACCTCAGGGCCAAAGGAAAAAAAGAAAAAAGGTATATCTGGCTCCCAACCCCCCATGACAGAATCCACAGCAACCCGGAATCCCTAAAAACTCTGCTCATGGGCTTTTCTTCTTGTCATTTTCCACTAGCATGAGACCTATAGAGGGAGCTGGGGACAGTTCTCTGGGGAAATGTTCTCCCTGCAGAAGTAATTTGTTCACATCCTCCAACTACTGTTACAGTACTGAACAGGGACAGTGGCAGAGAAATATTTTTTCCTTCCCTAAAAGCACTGAAGTGTCAAAGAATTTCCTTTCGAAACCAGTGTAATATGAATGTGTTACAGCTATTACAATTACTGCTAATTGCCAGTTATGGATCTTCTCCCAGCTTTATAGTTTGAACTTCTGCCTGCTGTTACACCAGTGTACGAATCTGAAACAAATCAGCAGAGGAGCTATTTCTTCATATCTGTTGCATATGAAAATAGACTGGCTATATCTGTGACACAGTGAAACACACCAGGAGGGCTGTCTAGCTAATGAACCAATCCAGCCCATGTCTGGCATGAAACAGGGCACAAACTGCTGCAAGAGGTACACATCACCTCCTGACAAGCTAGCATATAGTCTGTTATAAGGCTATCTATCATGCTGTCAGAGGTATCAAACCAGCACTGCTGTGGAGGGATCTCTGCCACTGTGACAGACATTTTCCTACTATGTAGTACCTCCTAACTATTAGATACTTAGCTTAGCTTTACTTTCCAGACCAACACATACCCATCATTGGTTTTCTCCCTTGCAACCTTTCTCCTTCCTCACATTTCAGATCTGAAAATTGGGAAACAGTTTGCACTTGTTAATTAGTTGTTCAAGTCACACACCAATCTGTTAGTGGAAAATTACCTGGCAACATGAAATAATGTTTGAACTCTATCCTCTAAGCACAAGCTGTGGACATTCCTGTTGTTGCTTTCTTGCAGACTGCTGAAATAACTTAGAGTAAAACTGAGATAACCTTTCCAGGTAATAAATCTAGTCTGTTATGGTGCTGATATATTTCATACCTTCTTGATATTGCAAGAAACTGTGAAAATAATTTTGTTTAGGAGAATTATTGGGACAGAGGTGTTATGACAGTTTTCTCCTTTTTAATTTTGAGTTCTACAAAGAAAATTTGTGAAACACTTAAAGGAGATTTGAAACATACATCTTAGTAATTCGAAAAACTGCCATAGCTGTATTGCAGCTAAACAGTTAGGTTTATAAATACCAGTGTATTTGAACAAATTGAATTGCCAGCAATGTGTAGGAACTAGCCATAGTAATGGATAAAGGTCATGTCTGATGCAGATAAACTTTTAAAGACACTCCTTTTATGATGGATACTATATGAGCCATATATAAGTGTAAGAGCAACCTATGTGTAAGAGGGAGGGAAGCCGTCTGAAGATAATGAAACTGATGATGCAAAGGCTGGTGGGCCTAAAGCTAAGAGGAAACCTACTGGAAATCCCTTTTCATGCAGCCACAACTCAAAACTTACTTTTGGACCATTTATTCGTATGTTTTTCCTGCTTGAGAGCTCCTTTGCTCCTGGCCTCAGTTCTAGATTGAAGAAAAGCCTCAGTATTTACATGTGTTCCAGCCACTCCTCCAACTGACAAAGCCAATGATCTTTGGTATGTTTTCCCTCACCTTTTCCATGTAAAATATGACTTCAGTCATGCTTTATTTATTGGAAGTTGTTAAGCAAAGTCTGATATTATTGCTTCCAGTTTTAACAAATGAATTCCAAAGCCAAGAGCATTTATAAGGCCCTTCCAGGACTTCAAATCTATTTCTTTGTCTTTCTGGGTGATTGCTCCTGTCCAGGGAAGTTTTCTTTTCCTCTTAAACCCACCAACAGATATGCTAGTATTTGCATTCAGAATAAAGTCCAAGAAACTCCTCTGCAAAAAAGAAAGAGTTTTGTACTTGATTTACAGCTCTTTGTCCTCAAGTTCAATGCAATAGTTTAGACCAATTACATCCCAGTCCTATTAGATCTGCCATTCATCTAACTGTACTCATTGCCTCTGTACTGGGTAATGAGGTTGTCTATATACCTGCAGGTAACTGCACATGATCAAAACACTCTGGATGAGTCATAGGCATTTAATCTCCCATGCAACCGCAGTTGGTAGGGATGTGCTGAAGCATGCTGGTGGCATTCTGAAATCTGTGAGGACAAAGGGGTCTGGCAGCGCTTCAGGCAAGTCCAGGATGTATGTGCTGCTCCCAAGTGCTGGGGCTTGCCTGCTTCCTGCAAAGCATACACGGGAGCTTAACCAAGAAATACAGGTCATTCAAACTCCATATGCTATAACTGGATAGGTCAGTTCTCTTTTTAAGCCTTATAAGTTACTCTTTGGAGGTGCCGGACTAATTAAGTTCAAGTGCTCAAAAAATCGGAGTTTAAATGTGAACACTTGGTGTTGATACTGGCATTAAACTTAAGAACCTTAACTATCATTTACTATTTTAAATCCTTCAGAATTATTTTGCCTTTTAAAATTAATCTGGTTGCCCTGACATGTACTGCAGATGACCTTTTAAGGCACAGTTAAAGTGCTGTGTTAATAGTTCGATAGTTTTGGTATTGATAGTGTGGGTATGATCCTTCTAAAATAGCAAAGTAGATAAGATTAGCACTTCAAAATGAGATTTAGATTACTGTGCATAGCAATTTCTTGTTAAGCCTTTGAATATTTCATACTAAATGTATATTCATTGTACAAATTTGTGTCATCTCTGAGACAACAGTGTGTGCTACATGGGGGGGACAGAGGGAAGCAAAGGCTGCATAGGAGAGGTCATAGGTCTTCTGCACTACACTTGTCTGTGTACTGGAGAGGGTCCTACACAGCAATGCAGCCTTCACATTTCCTTGTACAGCCATGCAACCAGGCAAGATAGGAGGGCTGTTGGCCTCTGACAACACTCAGGCTCCCAGTGGGGTAAAAAATGCAGCCCTTCTCTTCCTATTCTGCAGTTTATATGACTATATAAAAGTTTCTTAATGTCAAGGGGGAAAAAAAATCTTATGGAAGATCAGTTTGGAGAAAATTTATTAGAACTGATCAAGGACTTTGAGAGTCCTTGATAATCCTGGGTATTATAGGTAAATGTCCTTCCCTGTGTCTCTCCCTCACACACACTTTTCTGCTCTGTAGCAAACCAAATAAATCATTGGCATGCATTAACATAAAATAGGAACCAAAGAACTTTAGTTCCTGCTCCCAGTTAATCTTTTCTTCCCCAGACACCGTCCCTTCTCTGTCTTGTCCCTCACTCTAACAGTCTAGTTCTTGATGTTTAATGCTACAAGTTCAATAGTGAAATTAAAGCATACCATATCTGTTTAGTATTTACGACATTCTCAGGAGCAGAACAGCACATTCAAGCAGAGGAGGCCTGAAAACTCGCATTTCGTTATCCAAAGATGTGGTCCAACTTCTAAGTCGTTTTAAGGTAACAATTCCAGTGCTGGTTTTGTATATATTCTGAACTAAACTCTGATGCATCCACTTGAGTATGCTTTCTTGGTGAAGTGCCCATTATGAGAATCCTTGAGGGCCAAATCTCTCTGAAGACTAACAGTTCAGGAGCCACATCTCTGCACTGTAATGGAGTTTAGCTGTCATCTGAGCATATTACTGGTCATACTCTAAACTATGCAAAGATACTTATTCACAGACATCTAAAATAGAAACAGTTCTGAGCATTAGGAGTTTCCCAGGTAAATGATAATTGAAAGTAGGTAGACTGAACAGCTTTCTTGGTCTAACATTACCTAAAGTTAGGCCACCTGCATATTTCCCAGTTTAATTTAGATTAAACCATGAGCACTACCTTATCCTATAAGTAAAAAAGTAATATAAAATCACATTTATCTATTTTGTACATAGAGATATTAGATTAGCATATAGAAGGAAACAGAAATTTTTGCCTTATCACTCACCAGTAGAAGAGAATGTCTTCTGACTTTCCAGAGATATTCATACACATGTAAATATACTTTCAGGCTTGATGATAAGATTTCCCACAACTTACCATACCCTTGCTTCTTTTTTTAATTTGCATTATGTCATCCTGACTCTGTTTTAAATCCTTTCTTCATAAAGCCTTTTTCATCGGTCATATTTTTTCTTTACTTTCATATACTAATAATTTAATAAATGTTTTCTCTGAGAGGAAATTATGTTTCTTTACATGCTAACAGGATAAGCATCATATTTCTGAAAGCAAACAGCCTTTACACTGCCTTCACTAAGAAGACAACATGTCACTGTGTCTTTCTGAACAAACAGCCTATCTTATACTTTTCGTAAAACAGAAATTACAGTTAAGCTGTATAGAAACAAGCCTTGGTAATAAGAAACTTAATGCTTTTTCATTACAGGTATTGCCCTCTCAAATGTGCCAATTTATTTATTTTTACTTCATTTTTTCCACTAGGGGAAAATAAGCAGTTGGTTTTGCATAGCACTCTCAATTTCCAATTAGCAATTCCCTATATTATAACCCTTGACAGCTATCCTTCACCTTCCTAAACGTGATGCCAGCTTTTACTGGTGCCAGTAAAAGTCTCAGCTAGGATTTCCTAGAGGCACCAAATGGCTGTATTTTATGTTGAGTTCATTGCAATAGATATATTTTCTCCATTTTCAAGCTCTAGATATGAGATGGGTTGCACAAGTGGCTTACTTGTATATCCTGATTTAACTAGTCAACTTCTGCAAAATGATATAAGCACCTTTGCAGTCACTCATATAATGCAGTCAGTGATGTATACCCAGTAACAAATACTCAGCCTACAAGCTGCCACTTCTTTTACAGCACATCTGAGGTCAAAAGTCTACAGTCCTGAGCTTAGATATCTTATTTAGTTTTCATCTACCATTCACCATATAGGGGACTCAGAATGATCCTACTGAGGCAGAGTTCATCTATTTTGAGGTATGAGTAGTGAATAGGCAAAGTGTAATCCTTAGAAATTTAAGTTTATTTTAATGTAGATATAAAGAACTTTCCCTGCATAGGATGATTCACAAAAGAATTGCTGCTTGAGAACCCAAGCACCCTGCCTACATGTTTGCTGCAAGGCACAGTTAGGCCTCTCAGATTTTGCAGATGTACATTCCAGGGTGCATTATAGTCTTGGCTGAACAGAGGCATACATCAAACACATGATCACTTTCGTATGACCCAACAAATTACCAAGTGTTTTATAATCCACTAAATAATACACATGCATTTACTCCAAGCTCACAGTAAATATGAGGAAATTCATTTATGTTATTAGATTTGTCATTAGACAAGAATATACATCCATGTTCAATATAATTTTCTCCATTCAAAACATATACTGAAGAGCACCTACTTATCATTCCTGGAACTGCCCAGGAGAGATGTGAGAGAGAAATCCACAGCTAACACAGTTAAGGCTACAGATGTAGATCATGCGTGAAAGGACATCCAGAATGGAGGCAGGTAAGACAAACAGCTCCAGCATTGTTTACTTGTGAGGGCTTCACCTGTTGTATCCTAATGATGCATCTTAATAGATGGACGTACTGATCTTCCCACATGACAACTAATCTCAGTTTGAGGGGTCATTCAAAAAAGTATATTCTCTTTCCTAGATAGAGATAGGAGGGAAAAGAAGCTTAATACAGCTAAACATGTTAGTTGCAAAAAATGATTGTTTTGCAAATCCAGACAAGGGTGATTTGCATCTCAGTTCCATGCAAAAAATCTTCTGTGTCCAAAGAGGAAGGAGATATTACTGGTATGGTTAAGATCACACCCAGAGCACTCCAGTCAAGTGTTTTCACAAATGCATGGTTGGACGTGTTTGGATGCCTGACTATACAACAAAGAAGAAATAATTTGAGTACTCCGGGATAAATGTTGGAATTTTAAAGGCTGAATCCACAAATTAATTGTTATGAAGCTTTTCAGAAATGCTGTATTATACCTAGAACTGTTTCAGCATCTGCCCAGCTGTAAATTGTTCTGAGGTCTCTGAGTGCGTGCTGCCAGCTAGAGGAAATCTAGTCTGTGACCCATGTTCTGTGACAAAGGAAATGCTACAGTAATCACTAAATGAAGAAATGCGGGAATCAATAGAAGAATGATGGAGTATTTCACTGGTGGTGTTTTAAGATAAACTGTTGTTTACTAAATTTCCTACACTGTTTTTTTTACTGTGTTTTCACAGTACAGCTTGTCAAGAGCTTAAGTTGCAAAAGTAACCAAGAACCATTTTATTTCTTTCCTGGATTACCTGCATACCTTTCCTGTTTCTGCCTAATTTTTGCTTGATAGTTTCAGAACTTCATATTTATCAAAATACTATACTGGTTTAAGCCAAATGTTGTACAATCTCACAGACACAGAAACACAGACCTGTCTGAGCTGTCTTTTCCATCAGCATCTAGCAACATAATAAATAATTAAGATGAAGAGACACATCACACAATCATATGTGACGCAGTAATAGGTCCACAACAGAACTAGGTGCCTAAGGATGTTTCTTAGTGCCTATATCCAACATGGGTAAGTCTATGTTATTCAAATGCCCTCCTTCTTAAATCACTTAAGCCTGGGGTTGGATGTTCATTAAGACCAGATCACTGAATTATGAGATGACCAGGCAGTAGAAATGACAAAACTGTGCAATTTGGTGCATCAGAGGGAAGGCACACCCACATCAGACAGTATACTAAAGATGTCATTCTTAAGTAATTCACTGAGCACATCCCTTACAAAGGCAGGAAACTAATATGAAAGTAACTTAAAACTTTAGGAAGGGGATGACTTGATACCTGCATCTTCTCTTCCTGACACACACAAAAAAAATAAGAACTGTACTGTGCCACACCAAAAGGTTCATCAAATCCTATATGCTGCTTACCAGTACCTACAAAAAGTTATATGAAAAGGATAAGCCCAGTACGTCCTGTTCAGGTTCCTCATCATAGCAACTATGGGCAGTGGGTGCCCTGAGAGACACAGCAGGCTTTGCTTGTGTGGAATCTCCCAGGAAGCCTCTGTACCAGACTGCTGCTTGTCCACTGCAGGATGTTGAGGAGGATACATGAGCCAACGAAATTAAAATTGATGACAAGAGGAAGGTAACAATATACTACTTGACATTATTAGCATTGCAGATGACATCTCACCAAAATGAACTATTCCCTCTCTGAACATGACTAAGCAGTGTTTTCAGTAAAACATCACTCTCAGACTGTGCATTGAACAACACTATCATTTTTGGTGTGTATATATATAAAAATATATATATATATATATAAACCAGCTTCACAGGAACACTACAGTCTTGGAGCATAGAAGACAAGAAAGAAAGAGGTAATGTGGACTAGCAAAAAAAAAAAAAAGATTCCATTTTAGGGAAAGTCTGCTTAGAGAGACAGTTAATACTTTCACTGGCAGGAAGTCAGTTTTACTACCCTCCCCATTAGTTTTTTGACAATGCTAGATGTGTTTGTTAAGTTTTACATAATCAAATTTACATAATACAGAAACAGTGTTACTAACCTCATAGTGGTTGCTCTAGAACAAGACATTCTACAGCTGCTACATTATACCAAAATGAACTCTTGAAAAAGTAAGTTCTCAAAAGAAATAGAGAGAAGAATACTATTGAGAGTGAGAAGTAGCTAAAGTTCTCTGACAATGCTGCTGATTCATGAAGAAGATTTACGCAGGTTTTTGATCTATGCATGACCAGCTGGGCTCAAAAACAGTCACAAAATATAGGTTGGTTGGGTTTTCTTAAAAAATATATCTTTTTTCCAGGCATATCTGAAGCTCCCTATTTCTTTGTTAGTATGGTACTAAAAGAGAATCAAAGAACTGTCTCTTCAAATATGCAAGAGAAATACTAAGCTCCTAAGAAAAGTTAAACTTTTGAAGGACATCATTGTCATCATATGCACCTCTTGAAGAACAGATTTTCTTTTATTTCTCTAAATTTGAGGAATGTTTGACTGACAGTCACTTAAAAAGTCAGCCCTGTAATTATGGCATACTGATTGATTCCATTAGAAGAGATCACATAGTGACTGGAATCAAAAATATAAAGCTTCTGGAATGACAGCTACAAGGTAGAAACCTAAATCAGGAAAAGCGGTAAAGACATGTCAAAAAGATGCTAGAATAAAACTGAGATGTAGTTACACTGGATAAACATTATCACAAGGGGAAATTGGAAAATGGAAAGACAATACAAAGTGAGAAACATCACAGAACAAGAAGCTGTGATGAACAGAAAGTGCATTAGCTGTAGAAACATGCACAGATCCAAGCATCCAACATCCATATTTAGATGCTGTGATTTTAACTATTTTACAATATTTTGCAACTTAATAAGCATATCTGTGCTTTGTATTAAGAGAAAAATGTGTGCAAAAATATCTGGAAGGGACTTCTAGAGAGACACCAAATCTTCAAAAGCTGAAAGCAGGGATGACAGAGGGCTGACATCTTGCCCTACACACTGAGGGAACACTTCTTAATTATAGATTGGATATTGATACTGAAGTGAATATTGGACCAAAAAAAAATGTAGCTGTGAGCTTTTGAATGAGAAAACAAGACCACTAAAATCCCATCAAAATACCTTCAAGTTAGAAATAGTTATTCCAGAAGAATAACATGATCTTGAACTGAAAATCAAAAGTGAAAATGAAACTGATTACATTTGTTGTAATTGCTAAACCTGCAAATACGCTAATCACTTACCACCAGGTTAAATTCAAAAGACAAAAGAAAGATCCTGAAGATGTAATACACAATTGGAAAACTAGTTTATATCTACAGATACTGGATAAAACAGTTTAATGTATTATTATTCATATTTCTTCGAGATTGAATTCTTGGAGACCCAAACATGAATATCTTAGTGTACATTTGCAATACAGTTAAAGGGCACAGTGCAATATGTCATAACTGTACATTAAATCTGTACTTACAGGACATGAAACTCCAGAAGTTTTTCTCTGGTGATGGTTCACATCTTAATGAACAAAAGAAACACAGTCACCTGCCAACTGTTTAAACTTCTTTTTCAGGAGAGTCTGTATTTCAGCATTTAACATCACAGCTATCTGTAATTGAACAGTTTGATGAACAAATAAATTAAGGTAGTTTAAGATCACTCAGAAGGTTACAGTGTTTGGAAGGGTTCAGCTCTGCTAAACTTAAGGGTATCACCTTTAAACTTTATGGTATCACATTGAAATTGTGTTTAGCAGGGAAGAACAGTTTCTCAATTTAGCAGAACTGCAGCAGACAGTAGAACAAATTGTAACGTGCAGCAAGAAAAACTGATAAGGACACAAAAAAAATGTATGGTATAACTGGGATTCGAAAGTATGAAATCCATTATAAAGTAGAGCTACTGTTCATTTCTACACAGATGCTTCATGAACTTTAAAAAGGCTACAGCTATCAGAAAGGTTACCCATTTCTGTGACGTACAGAATCCTGAAGATGAGGTTTTGAGGAAAACAAGAGGTAGATGACAACCAAATCTTAGCAACAAGCGGATAGACAAGTAGAATTTGCAGAGACACACCACCCCACCGCCCTCACCCCCTGGAATTCTACAGAGACTGCAAAGAAATAGTAGCAGAGACTGTGAAGGAGCAGAAACAAGAAAGTTCATCTGGAATTCACAAAAGATTCATTGAACATTGCTAAAACAATTACTGGAACTGCAGTAGTCTTTGACAAAAGGAATACGCACTGTCATTTTTAGTAACTGAACCAGATCATCAGGAGGCAAGTCAGATACATAATTAACATAAATATCTAGTCACTCTGTGCCCAGTTTTATAAAAATGCAGATTGCACAACTCACAACCAAAGAGACAGACCAATGTCTGTTCCCCAGTGGTTTTGTGGATCTTCTTCGGGGCGCTTATGTCACATTGTCCTCTGTTAAGTTATTGCAGAGTTATCAAACTACCTTGAAGAACTGTTTTCTTTAGGTCAATAAGATTTTGAGTTATTGAGCCTAATTATTTTCTTCGTTCTACTCCTTAAGATGTGAATTGCTGTTTCAGCTGTCCTTTGACTGCTGCCGACTACCAGAACACTACGTGACTCTGCTGCTGACTCCAGACAGGCAGTTTTGCTGCTAGATCAGATTTCTTTGCCGTGCCTGTTGAACAACCACGTTGCTTTGTACTGCTGCCTCAGCTCACCTTACTCTCTCTGTTAACTCTTGCTGAGCCCTGCTAAATGCACCTCAAATTTTGACTTCTGTTGTAAAATGTGTAAGTTTTCCAAAGAAATGTTATATTAATTTTTGCTGTGAGTTATGTAAATTATGCAAATTATAAGGAGCCTTAAAGCCTCTGGAAATGTATTCAAGTGACCTACAGTGTCACAATATTTGCTTGACCTAGGTCTAGATATTTATGAAGAATCTCTTGAGAAATGTAAATTCATCCATAATTCATTTTGCAACACGGACAAATAGAAACAGCATGAGAGTATCTAGACTGTGACAAGTGTGTGAGATCTTCCAACATCGACTTCCAAAAACATTCATCTTGAATAATTTATTGCATGTGATACAGGTTCAGGAATTTGTAAGCTTAAATGTCTAAATAAAAATGTATGGATCACTTAGTAAATGTTAATATTCATCTGGAAATACATACTTAGACAATAAAGAAGTGTGCCAGCCCTGCAGAACAGGTTCACTTTTATGCAAACTGTGATATTTTTTAACATGACAGTCAATTGGTATAGAAAGACTACAGATGAACTGAGAAAAGCAGTGACAAATTCATGTACAGCTTCATCTGTGTTCATTACAGTTTTGTTATAAGCCATGTTAAGGTTAGCAACTGCTGTCTGAAACATGGGCATATAGTGTGATACCTCAGATTACTGTGATGCTGCTAACTATTAAAATTTATATTTCAATTGTGATCAGTCTATCACTGTATTAGCTGTGAAAGGAAAGTTCAAAATCACACTTTGGGTACAGATTCCACAGACATCCTTCTTGAAGATTAATGTTAATCCAAGAATGTTAGTCTTTTTTCCTCTCTTTCCTTGTCTTGACATTACCCATTTCAATACCAAGCATAGGTCTTTAGTCTTAGAGTTTTGTCCTTGAACCACAAATTCATATGGCTGTTTATTTTAAAAGAAAAATAAAGTTTATCTTTTTAGCCAAATTTTAAGGTTATTTTATTTTTATTATTTTATTTCCTTTGTTTAGTTTGCTTTCTTATTCTAAAACAGTGAAAAATCAATACTATTGTAACTCCAAAAATTGAATTATTATAAGTAGATCGAAACTCAGTAGTAGTTATTTACCGAGCAGTGGATGTTGGTAGGACATCTACAGTAGGAAAAGTTTCATATCCTGTGGTGACTATAAGAGAATTTCATGCATTGATGATATTTTTTCAAACATTCAGCTAAAGGCATGTGTTTGCTGTGCTTTAAATTCTGGACTGCTGAGGGGATCACAGAATCACTGAATGGTTGAGGTCAAAAGGATCTCTGGAGGTCATCTGGTTTAACCATCCCCTGCTCATGCAGCATCATCTGGAGTCAGCTGCCCATTTTCCCATGTCCAAATGTTTTTTAAATATCTCCACATCCTCCCTGGGCAACCTGTGCCAGTGCTCAGTCATCCTCACAGAAAAAAAGTGTTTCCTGATGCTCATACAGAACCTCCTGTGTTTCACTTTGTGTCCATTTTTTCCCTTGTCCTCACACTGGGCACCACCGAAATGAACATGACTCCATCCCCTTTGCACCCTCCCTTCAGGTATCCATATACATTGATAAATTCCACGCCTGAGCTTTCACTAGACCAAACAGTCCCAACTCTTTCAGCCTTTCCTTGTATGACAGGTGGTACAGTCTCTTAATCATCTTTATGGACCCACTCCAGTGGTTCTGAATCCCTCTCATACTGGGTAGCTCAGCACTGGACACAACAGTCCAGGTGTGACCTCACCAGTGCTGAGAATAGAGGAAGGAGTAGAGGGAAAGGATCACCTCCCTTGACCTGCTGGCAACACTCTTCCTAATGCAGTCCAGGACACCATTAGCCTTCTCTGTCACAAGGACATATTGCTCGGTCATGGTCAACTTGCTGTCCACCGGGTCTGCTTTCCAGCCGGGCAGCCTCCAGCATATATTGCTGCATGGCGTTGCCTCCTCTCCAGAAGCAAGGCTTTGAACTTGCATTTGTGGGACTTCATAAGGTTCCTGTCTGTCCATTTCTCCGTCATATTAAGGAGATAATCCTCCTCTGGATGGCAGCACAACCCTCTGGAATATCAGCCACTCCTCCCAGTTTTGTGTCAGTACACCTGTTGAGGGTACACTCTGCCCCATCATACAGACCACTAATGAAAATGTTGAACAGGACTGAACCCACTATTGACCCCTGGGATACACTGCTAGTTACTGGCCTCCAACCAGACTTTGTACCACTGACCACCACCCTCTGGGCCAGGCCTTTTGGCCAGTTTTCAATACACCTCCCTATCTGCTCATCCAGCCCATGCTTCAACAGGTTCTCTATAAGGATCTTATGGGAGACAGCACTGATTTCAATTCTTCATTACTGAAGGCTAGAAAAAAAGCATCTATTGCTCTCCCCTCATCTACCAAGCCAGCCACTTCACTGTAGAATGTTATCAAGTTGGTCAGACATGAATCTCCCTTGGTGGATCCATGTTCACTACTGTTCACTCTCTTGTCTCTTATGTGCCTAGAAATGGTTTCCAGGACTAGTTGTTCTATCACCTTCCCAGGGTCTAAGGTGAGGCTGATAAGCCATGTGTTTCAGAAGAGTATTGTTCTCCTCCTAGTAGCAGAGAAAAGCTCTTTTAGCGATTTGTTATTGACATTACTGTACATTGATCCCCTAATTCCAATTTTTCTGCTCATGTTAGTTCACACCAACAGCTTATTTATTAAAATAAGTTTTAAAACACTATTTAGCTTCCTCTGATTGCTAACCCATAACTTATAGATGCACCAAAACCTTTCTGTGAAGGGGAGCTAGTTAAGAAACTTCAGCATAAATACACTTATTTGCACAAAAATATGATCATTCACACTCCATTAACCTTATTCACAAGCATAGAAGTTCTTCTCCAAGTATTTGTGTGAATAAAAGGAGTTTGTATGAAGTTTCATGGAAAAATTAAAAAAACCGCATGTCCTCTGTTAAATCATAGAGAAATTAGAATTTGTAAAAAATACTCGTGATCAAAATTATTCTTATTATACCTCAGTTAAGGTAGGAATCTTCTAAACTTAAACATTTTCAGTAAGCCGTGACTTGATTTATATGTATTAATTATCTCAAAACCAGTTCTTTCACCTGTAAGAATTTGGGCTAATCTTTGGCATTTCTAAGGCCGCTGAGATTTTTCTGTCCAAATTCACTTGCTAGATATTAAATGTTTTAATTCAGATCCCAGCTTTAGATCAGTAAATTCATAAAATTTTATTAATTTGATGAGATTCCATTGATGTACCCATCCATTCTGCCATGCAGCTCCTGGGCCATACAATTTCTGGACATATATTTTGAACAGAGATTCAAAGATAAAATCTATCTTACTTTACACAGCTCAGGAGATACATGAATCTACAAAGAAAAAAAAAAAAGCCCAAACCCATCATACCTGTCAGAGTAAGTTAAGAAATCATTTTTATGATTTAAAATTGCTTTCACTCTCCATGAAATGAAGCTTTCAAAAGAGAAGTGAGGGAAAAGAGAGGGAGAAAAATAGGAAGAGAGTATTAATAAGAATACAGCTGCTTCACCTGATTTGGGGAAGCTGGAAGTTCAAGTCAAGAAAGTTCAGGGCTTTATCACATATTGAATTACTTACAAAATGTGGAAAATTTGCAGCAAAGATGAATAAACAGATTTTATTCTGTGATGATCTGTAACCTAGTAAGTATTTACTTGAGACAAGCATAAGTGGTTTAAGCATCTATTGTGAGTAAAGCATGACAATTCCAAGTGTTTCTCTCACCTACCAAGTAAATACCATGAGCAACAGTGCATTAAGCCATAGGCTAGTCTGAGTCCTTTTTCCTCTCCTTATTTCAGGTCCACCTGATACATACATCATGTGGAAGTTACTAAGTTTGGACACATAGATATTTCACTAAAAGAACAACAAATTTTAGAAAAAATTCTCAGCTGTCTTTCTTACATAGGAACCTTGTCTCTGTGTCCTGCTTTTTCTTTACAGACATTATCATCCTGGAGGGAAAGCTGTTACTTAGGCCTGAGAGCTATGACCGATCTTTAAGTCAGCACTTACTGTGATCCTAAAGTCAATCTCTTCATCTTTCTTTGTAAATCCTTCTATTATTTTGAATGCTAATAAGAAATGCAATCTCTGTTCCACTTTTGAGGAATGTCCCCAGTTCCCACTGCAATGAGTCTTACACCATTTTCTCTGGGCATCACCTTCAGTCATCCCACATTCTAATCTGATGAAGGCTGATGTACAGCACAGGTTCTTGCATTACACCAGTCCCTCAATCTTGGAACAGACTACTGGGAACTGTTAACAAATTTACAGCAGTCTTGGCACAACAATATACAGTCCTTAGAGCCAGTTTGACATCAGGGACAGGGCAGGTTTGACACCTGCCACACTCCAAGCCAGGCCATGCACCCTACAGCCATTCTCAAAACACTGGCAGATACACTTGAATGAACATGCTGCATAGTTTGCGTGCAGAATTACTTAACTTCCCTTTGCTCTAGGTGAATAGGAGTCGCAGAGTTCACAGTTTTCTGGCCCTCATCAGTATTGAGAAAAACCATTCTATTATCAGAGTTCACAGAGATGTAGCTTGGGAGCAGCTTCTAACTCTTGGTCTAATGGAGCAACATTGGTTAGTGGTTACAAAATTTATTAGATTTATAAAGGAAATTAATTGTCCATGAGAAGGAAGAAAGGGAACCTGTACACTTTAGTTAACTACCAAATAAAATAGACTGAAATTTCCTTCTATGAGCAGCAAAACACTTTAATGAAGTTTTCAGAGCTAAAAGGTGTCAGATGATTCAGAATACTACAAAAACTATATTAAATAGTAAATAAAGTAAGACAGACTCTTTTAAGGCATCTAGTTCATTTTTCTCTTTTTTCTTTTTTTTTTTTTCTCCCAGAACTTTAAGTGGAATTGTAAGTGCCATAATGTATTGGAAAGTCCCTATGATACTGTTAC